GTGGAACCTCTACACCCTAGTTACTGCTTCCATTTCTTTTCCTTTGATTGCATAGTAGTTGGCTAGGTGAGAATGAGGGAGAACCAATGTTGGCTCCCTTCTTTAAAGGGGATAAAATTGCAAGAGTATGGGTTGGATTCTGTGTTTCATTAAAGCATCTTCATGTCATACCCTTCTTCAATTGCAGATTATTTGTTCTTTGTCATAGGCCCTTGGGAATATTAATTTATAAAAATTTGAACAAAACAGTTCACTTTAATAATAAAAATAATCTTAGTTGCCATGGGAAAGCATAGGTATAAGGAACCTTGGAAACTGGAAATCAGTAGCTTTTTCTAGAGAATTTAACTTTAAAACCTTTTTTTTTTAATTTAAGGGAATTTGTTCAACATTTAGTATCTGACATCAAAGTTAACAAAATATATGAACCAATGTATCCACCAATTCAATTGAAAAATACTGCTTGTTGTCAAATTTCTTTCTTTTTAAACAAAAATGTAAGTGCTTAAAATTGTGATTTGAGTGAATTGGTTTTCCATTCAACAAATTATCCACATTTTGTTTCATGATATCAATTGCAATTACTGCAATGTAATAGTAATCTTCTTACTGCCTCTCTATGTTTATCATTGCTATTTCTTCATTTTTATCTTTTCCTGCCTTTTGCACTTTATCCCCAGGCGAATACTTCTCTTTGGATCGCATATGGTTGATTGCTCTAAAGCAGGGGTTGGCAAACTTTTGAGATAGAAGAGCGAATCTTGGCCCTCACAACAATTTGACAATTTGAAAGAGCCATAAATATATCTTTACAAATAAATGAAATAAGCATTATCTGAATAATATCCTTTCAATGTTTTCAATTTTCCTTCAGACCCACATGCACTTACCAAAAGAGCTGCATATGACCCCAGCTCTAAGGAGGGCATGCCTCCCTGGTGTTATTGCTCACCTCTAGGTCTGTCTATTGTTTGAATGCGCCATGAGCTGAGCAGAGTTCCAGGCTTGAAGGTGCCCAAGGGAATCCTTAGGGGGTTCCAATAATCTCTATCAGATCAGTAAGTAGGGCCTTTTTTTGTTTGTTTGTTTTGTTCCAGATTTTTCCAACTCTATCCAGAAACTTCTACCAATAGTGTTAGCTGGGCACCATCTAATTCTTTCGGTTATGGAGGCTGAAATTCCCATGGCCACTAGTCCTTTGGGCTAATTGTTTCCATGTGTCTTTTGTTATCTTCCCTTTTTTTTGCTCTGGATAGGGAGAGGCCAACAGTTAGACTTCAGCTGGCCACTCTCAAGATTTTAAGATTCCAGACACTGTTCACCAGGTGGAATATACAAGGGGGTACCAAAATACACCCTGGAAATTCACTGGACAGAGCAGAGCTTTCGTAGTACTCACCTTTCCACTCCGTGAGCATCAAGCAACTTGCTCTGAATTAGTGCACCCTGTGGCGTCACCTGGTAAGGTTCTCTCTGGTCACAATGAATTTTTTCATAAAAGCCGTTTTACTTGAACCTCATTTTTTGTGATAGCCGATTTAAGAGAATGGTGTGTGACTGTGAAATTTTGTGTCCTGCTCGGGGGAAAATGCCACAGAAACTGTTAAGATGTTGAACAAGGACAGCATTAAGTGGGGGGTTAAGCCTCAAAGTTTATGAGTGGTTTTCTCGTTTCAAAAAAGGTGAAATGTTGATTGATGACAAACCTCATTCTGGACGTTCATCAACTTCCTAAGTGATCAAAAATGTCA